CAGAACCTTATCAAAAGAGATTCACTGAATGAATTATTTTTTAATATTTCATAATTTTTTTTTTGAAGTCATTTAGATTTAAAAGAAAAATTAAAAAAAACTAAAATAATCTAATAATAAATAGTTTAGGTATGAATAATCCTATCAAAACACTTGGTAAAGCTTATATTGGACACTTGAATGAACAAACTGATAAGTATAAACATTACCTTGAGTTTGACGAATGGAGATATTATTTTGATGTAACTGTTCATTCAGTCATTGAACATATTATTATGGTATTATTTCCTTTGTTATTTCCTACTCCATGGAAACCAAAATGTATTAAAAGTGATGTAAATGAATTTTTCTTACCATCTTCTTATCAAAGATATGCCACTGAATTATATACGCCATTAGTTAGTGGATTTACATTTGTTATATTTGTTGGATTATGGCAAGGAATTACAAATCAATTTTCTCCTGAACATTTAGGTACATTAGTATTAGTTTTACTTGTATTTATTAATTTTCAAGCATTAATAATTCATTTAACAATTCAAATAGGTTTTGAAATTGATTGTGATTTCCGTGACTTTTTATTTGTTATTGGGATGTCTATCATTCCCATATTCACATCAATGCTTTTATCTTTCTTTTTATTTCGTATAGTTTCTTTTATTATCTCCTTGATTATTTTCTTTAATTACTTTATTTTTTCTATTCGTTGGTATTGTGGTCGTTATTTACTTGACCCAACAAGTCTTGGTTCTTCTCTTCAAAATTCATTCTTCATAATATCGTTAATTCAAACATTAATATCATATTTCCTTTATTTATTAATATAATTTAATCATCCTTTGTATTTGGTTTGTTAAAAGCATTATTATTCAGATGGTTTTGGTATAACATATTGTTTATAAATAAATTTTTAATTCTTGAATATTTTCAAGAATGAATGTTTGATGAAACATGTATAATAAATTTTAACACGTAGAAGTTTATTATAAATCTAATAGAATTTATTGTTCAGCTTTTTATTTTAGTATGATTTTAAAATACTTTAATTTTAATTTTAATTCTTATTTGTTTTTTTTTGGTTTATTTTAAATCAATAATTTTTTTAGATTGATTTAACATTCGTGATAATTCCTAATTAACAGCTTCTTGAAATTTTTTATATTTTCATTTTCCTATTCTATTGTATTTTTATTTCTGTTTAAATAATATTTGTTTAAAAAATAATATAAACATTCAATTTTAAGACGAGACAAAACACTTACTAAGTTAAAAAACTTGAAGGTATTGACTATTCTTTTTTTTTAAGATTTATTTGATATATGGTTATGTATTAGTATTTTATTTAAGAATAAACTTTCTTGGTTAGTATAAAGAGAATATCTAAGTAGTATGTAAAAAATTAAACATTATTTTTTCAAAGAAGAAAATTATAGAAGTTTAGTAAAATCTCTCTTTGTTTTTAGTATGATATATTTATGAATTGGAGAGATTGGTTTAAGCTACTTTTTACTCAAATACTTCACAAAAATAGGTTACAATGTTTACATTATTATTTCTTATTGAATATTTGTTAAGAATCGTATTTGAATTTTAAAATAATGAGAACCTCTTTTATTAGAAGATTAAATTTGAGAGAATGGTGGGGGATTGAAATAGTATAAAAATTGTTGAAATAGACATTATTTATTATAATTAATTTGTAAGAGAAATAATTTAGATAACATTCATGATACTAAAAAGCTCTATATAAATATAGGTTTAAAGAATATAATTCATTTTTTTGAAAATCTACTAAAATTATAAGAAGAGTTAATGAATAAAACAGAAAAAATACGGATTGAGACAAATTTCATGAATAAGCGATATAAATAAATCATAAAAAAGAATGTGCATGGTGTTCGAAAGATTAAAAAATAACCAGAACAGTGAATTAATTGAAAATAAGTTACATAATAGAAATAAAAATAGAAGTATTTAATAGGATTAACTTATAATGAATAAATCAAAAGAACATGTTACGCTTTGTACTATTCCTTGTTGTTACTTTTGCTAAAGACTCATTAGTTTTTACTGAATTAAAAAACGAAGATGGTGATGCTGTTGGATTTATATCAATAGAGTTTGATAAATGTTATTATTATGGAGAAAGCTCATCATCTTATTTTACTCATGATGGAGATAAGATTATAATCAAATTATATGATGGTTCATCTTCATGTTCTGGAAATCATGAGGAGCAAACATTCTATATTCATGATGAGGCACTAAAAAGATATTGTCAAGTCTCACTAGATTGTTCTGTTGAAATAAAAAAGCCACCAAAACACATTGGATTCCATAGCGTAGTAGACGATAATGAGAATTGTACACATCGTGATAATACAATTAGAGCATATTATACTGGTAAATGTTATAAGTGTAATGAGGGTAAAAATTATTATTGTAATTTCAAAGAAGAAAATGGATATATGTGGGAAAATGTTTATCAAAACAATAAATGCACAAGTAAAGAAACAGTTGAACAGACGCCTCAATGGGAATGTAACGTTTGTAAAAATGGTTTTATGTTCCAATGTGGTTCAACGTCAACAACAGTTATTTCTGTCACTATTCTTCTTTCTTTAATCCTTTAAACTTTAAACTATTATTACTTTAAATAATTGTTTATCCTTTCCATAAAATGTGAGTTTTATTTTTCTTACCTTTGGATATTTAAAATAAAACAAGGATTTATTTTTCTTTTACTGCTAATAATTTTCAAACTATCTTTAAAAATATTTTTTGATTATAATGTTTACACACTTTTCCTCAACAATACTGGTTAAACATGAGAATTTCAATACCATCATAAAACATCTCATTAAAGAGTCTTTATCTTTTGTCTATTAAACTCTATTTCAATTAATACCATATCCTTTTGAAATCTTTTAAATATTTGTGTTACTTTTGCTTTTTTTCTGATTATTATTTTCTCATGAGAATATTAACTATAAAAATTACTACTAATATTACCAATAGACAAACTAACTTTATTTAACCAAGTTAATTAAATTAAATTCTTTTAAAATATAACCAACATAAATATACTCTAACTTTAATGATATTTTCTTTATTAACTAATATGAAAAATATAGTTATATAAATAAATATTGGTACAAATGATTTGTATGAAACTATTTCAATGATTAGAACATTTTCATGACAACGTTCACATTTTAAATAATCAATTATCTACATACTCTTATATTATTTATCTTTAGAATAATTTTAATGTTAATGTAGTGGATTTATATCTTTAAAGAATAAAAACTTTAAACTATATTTGTGTTGTAAAGAAGAACAATATGAACAATTGTTATCAAAAAATTATAACGTTGAGCTTTATTTACGATAACGATAATCTTGCTATACAGTTAAAAGAATACAAATTTAGTTGGATTATTCTTCTTGGTATTAGGATAATTTTTGGAAATTGAGACTCTTTTTGTCTTTTTTATGATAAAATCAACACAACTAATGATACTCTTATTTCATTTGTTTTAAAAAATACTTTATAAACCAGATAAATAACTCTACTCATCAGTAAAAAAAAGTATAGTATTCTTACTCATTATTTCAATCTTAACAAAAAAGTTTTGTTCTTCTAGTAATATAATTATGTGACTATTTTAATTAAAAATACAGTGCTATGTATGAACTGATTTCTTCTTTGACTCTCTATCAAATGTTAACACTTTTAAAATGAAATTTGAGAAATTATGGTTGTATTATCAATAATTGACTTTAAATAACAATATTAAATATTTGATTTAAAACATTTCTTAGAAATAAAAAATACTGTTAATTCAAAATACCCAATCTATAAAAAACAGTAGTTATAGTTTAATTATAATTAACAGTATTTAATAATAACAGTTATTGTATATTTATATAATTTTTATGAATCTATAGTTTGTTTATGAAGTGCAAGGAAAGATTTTACTTAGTTAGTTATTTGAACGTTATTTTTATTTTAAATTTCAATTTTTTTATTAGAAAATCTCTTAGACTTCTTATAACTCTAGTTATAATTTTAATAAACGTATTAATATTAGATGGTATTCACCTCTTTCTCAATATCTTTAAAATTAATTTAACTTATTTAGTATTAGACTTCATAGTAAGTCTAATGATCAAACAATTCCTGATATAAATTCTTAAAACTGATTACAATCTTTATCTATTTAACTTTCTTATGTTTTTTTAGTTAGTCTTGAATTTCTCTTTAGTGTTATAATAAACTTAATTCTTATTTATATTCTTTTATTTAATATTTTGTAGTTTCTCAAATTTTATCTAATTCTTCCATATTTTTAATGTATTATATTATTCATGAAGATTTTTCTTTTTGTAGTAATTTCTTTAACACATAAATATTCATGGATTTACTTTATTTGACATCATCAAATTACAAAATAAAGTTAAATTACACTTCATAATTATTTTATTTAAGAAATTATGTGTAAAAAGATAAACTTGAACCAAATAAATTTCTGTGGCGTAGTATTTTGAATTTAAAAGAACTTTCTATACTGTAATTAACAAAGAAGAAAAACAAACAATATAAGAGTAAAATAATAGAGAAGCAATAGAATTAATAAAAAATAACTTCCACAGTAGAAACAAAAAATCTAAAAATAAAAAACAATAAAAAATCTAACAAATTATTACATTTCAAAAAAATGACAGAAGTTATTCCAATTGGTATTGTTATGTGGGGAAAAGAAAAAGTTGGTAAGTCAACAATTGTAAATGTATGGAGTGTTTGTAAATAAATTACTATTAACTTTTAAAAGACAATAAAAAGAAGTTTTACATAATTAAAAAATTATTTAAGAAGAAAAGAATAAACAAATAATTATTATGTAGGATATTCCACAACCCTCAAGTTATGACCATCATGAACCTCGTAAAGTAGAAGTTGATTATTCAATTGGAAAAACAACATTAAAATTACAAATAGTTTGTAAAAAAAAATAAAAATAATGTTATTTTTATAAATAATAATTAATAAATAAATCAAAATAGAAATTAATATTATTAGTATGATGTTGCGGCAGAAAATATTGAAGATAACTCAGTAACAATGGAAACTCATAATAAATCAGGACCAATACAAATTTTTGTAATGTCAGCTAATGAAGATAATGATGATGTTGATTATTGTCGTACTCTTTTTGAAAGTCCAATGTGGAATGCTGATGATGTAAAGTTAACAGTAATTATTTTAAATAAAATAGATATTCAACATAATAATAATGAAGAACTTCTTAAAATTTTCTTAGAGAAATATCCAAAAATTTTATTCTTTAAAACAACGATTAATGATACAGAAGGAATTAAAAACGTTCTTTCAACAATTATTCAAGAATATGCGTCTGAAACAGGAATTAAATTAAGTAAGAAAACTAAAAAAGAAAAAAGTTCAAAGAAGCAAGGTTGTAAGAATCAATAATTCTTTTATTCTTTCTTGATATTTTAATTATTTTCTCTATTTTATTTTTGTTTTCTTTTAAAATAAATTTTTAATTTTTTTATTTAAATGAATGTTTCTAATTAAAAATTTCTTTACAGCGTTGATATTCACCTGATATAATTGCATATTTTAATTCTTTTTTGATTCTTTCTAAAACTCTTTCTGCCAATACTGAAATTTCGATATTAGTACTTTGACAAATTGAATTTAATAATTCTCCAATTTTATTTATTGGATTAATTATTTCATGAATCATTATTGGTTCTTTCATTAATGTATTTAATTCTTCAATAACTTGAGAATGATCCATTTCTTTCCAATTTTTTAATTTTTGAAGAGAACTTATATTATTTTCAATATTTTTTTCAACAACTCCTTCAATTTTAGTAATTTCAATCATTGGATCATTAACAACCATAAATCCAATATCACAATTTCTCATTTTTTCTTTTTTCTTTTCTTCTTCTTCCATTTGTTTTTCTTTTTTTATAACAGCTTTATGGAATTTATCTATATCATTTTCTGAAATTTTATCATTTGTAATTTCAATCGCTTTATTTATGGATTCAACAACATCTTTTTTTCCTAACATTCTTTCAGTAATAATATTCATAAACTCTTCTTTGAATGGTTTAATTTGATTGTCATTTACCCATCCAAATTCATACCCATTTGTAATATATTTAACTAAATACTTTTTATCTCTTTTAAATTCTATTAGTTTCTCTAATTGTCCCTTTTTTTTTTTATTTAATTTATCCATTATTATAATTTTAGCTGGCCACCATGGATATCCTTTTTGTTTAACCCATACAACTGACCAATTGTCCCATTTGTTTTGTTCAATCTCTTTATCTATAACAGTAACACTATCATTTGGACTTTTTTTTGGTTTTGTCTCTTCTTCTTTCTTTCTAGATGTTGGTGTTGCAACACTACCATCTTCTTTATTAGGAGAAAGTGGTGTTGAAACTTTATTCTCTTTTGGAGACGCTGATGGGGTAATTGAATGAGAATGTTGTGGAGACATTGGAGGTGTGCTGGATTGCACAGTAGTGGTATCAACTTGTTTTTCTTCTTCCATCTAATAATTTATTTCTTTTAGTCAACCCTCTTTAACAACCCTTTAAAACCCTTTAGTGTTTTCTTTCACATTTTTATCTTTCTTTTTAAAAGGATGGTATTTCTCCCTTTATTATCTCTTTTAATTGCAATCATCCACAATTTGGTTTATACCAATTTCATTACAACCCTTTCTTTACTTTATCTTAATGTGATTCTTATATTCTTATTGTATTCAAATCTTCTTACTTCTTTTCTTTCCCTTTCATTTTCTCTTTTCTGACTTTTAGGGTTGTTTTTTCTCTTTTTCTTTTTAATTTAGTTCAATTTCATTTTTAAACTATTTTTTGTTATTGTTATATATAACAATGATTATAAAAATATA